TTGCAATTTTTCCAGAGATAATTCATCATCATGTTTAACTGACTATATCATGACTAAAATTACACAATGCTTACACTATTTATAGAATAACTTGCAGAGGCTAGTACCATTAATTCAAACACCACTAAATCAGTCACTAGAAACAATTCTGCGAGTAAAGACTATGAACCACTCAGAAGCACTAGACCTTTGGAGTGAAGGATGCTCCTCTTAAATACACACACACACACACACAATGGCATTTATAGCTGGTTATCTTTTCTTTTCTCCCCAGCCTTACTGTCAGAGTCTGCTTAGTAAGTGCTGCTTATCAGAGTTCCCGGTTCTTATCTTGGAAGACTTCAATCACAGTAAAGCCATAACCTCCTGGGTTTGCTTTTCAACTACATATTTTTTTAACAATACCCAATATAATCACATACCCCAATGTAACATGGAAAACTTCGCATCTGAAAGGTATTTTTAATAAAGTGCTGGAGTGACAACCCAGGAAGCCTGCCATTCAGCCATCACACGTGGTGAAGCCTATGGGATTTGGTCCGCTCCCACACTGAGACACACTGTTTGGTTTAGCTTCTTCAAAGTTTTACAACAAAATTCCTCTTCAGTCACTTTCAAGGAAGTGCACAGAAACTAGTTCCACAGTGGGAATCTGCTCCACCCACAAAGGGCTATGGGAAAGCAACTAAGCATCTTGAGGCAGCAGGCCAGAAAGGGAAGAAAACAGTTGCTAAAGCTATCTTCTCTGTGAGGATGATCAAGTGGCCAAGCAGCAATAGAAATGGGCAAAGAATTTCTATTTTCCAGTGTTTGAAATACAAGAGAGTCAGTCCATGTGCTAAAATAGATTCGTTGTGCCTTCAGGCAAGTCAACAGCTAATTATAATGAACAGGGTCAGGGTATCCTTCAAAATTAAGAGAGAGATTTGGGACTTGGCTTCAGCAGTAAACCAGACACCCTCAATGGGTATATTTCTACTCCAGAGCAAACAGACCTGCTGAATGGACCAGAACTTCCTTAGAAATTCTTAACAGTGGAAACATGTACATTCAAGGTGTCTGCTTTGCGTTTGAAGCCAAATCCCAGATTAGTGCATTGAACTGACACAGAGAAAAAGAGCGCTTAAAAAAAAAACAACCCAAACCTGTGAATGTTTGTAGGGTATTATTATGAAAAATATATTTATTTAATAATATTAGTAATATTAAATAATAATAAACCCAGGATAAAGCAAAATGAAAGTGAGGAAAGACATTTTTTGGCTCTTGGAAAGTACCAACAATTCTGAAGTTACTCCCAAGAGGAGAGTTTAACATTTGACAGTTACATCAACAGCTGAACTTCAGTGCTCAAAACCAGTCCCCTGCCAACCACACCCGGCTTTTGAGATGAGTAGTCACATTTTCAGATACTTCAATTTCATCTAAATGTGATACTGACAAGGAAAATAACTAGAAGCATAAAAGCATCTAAGGTTTAAGTTTTGTTACTTAATTTTCTATGCGACGTCCCAGACCCCTCCACTAGCAATGCTCAGCTGTGGGAATATGTAAGAAGCACAGCAGCAGCCAGTCTGTGCTCTTGCCAGGATCCCATACTACTGCCACAGGGAAACAACGCTGCTCATGGCACTGCTAGTGGTACTAAAATCAATATGCCAACCTCCTCCAACCTTCCATGTAGAGATGAACGCTCTTGCCCCTGAGAGCTGGCAGAATCTCCGAGCACAACAAAAAGACACCATTTTCACTGGCCTAAGCACAGGGGTAGAAACAAGTTATTCCAATACTGCATGAATGCTTTCTGCTGGCAAATTCTGATTAAGATATCTGATAGACTGTGCCATTAACAGCTTCCTTTAGTACAGAATAATACCAACAGTTATGCTAATTACCAGTCTGCCTGTACTATGGCTCAAGTTTACTAGTGCAGTAAGAAGAGTTTAATAATTTGCATATTATTGTAATTCATTTTAGTCTTGAAGAATTAATGTTTTATGTAACTGCAGTTTCTTGAAGCTTTTTCCAGATATGAAATGGGGAATAATATTAAAGCCCGAGCATTCTGATGCCAAAATATTTTATTTGTAACCTTATTTTCAGAGCGGGCAAGCATCCAGACCCGAATTAAACCCAGGGAGGCTGAGAGCACACCACCCTCAAAAAGAAAAATGTTTGGAAAAATAAGGCATTTGTGTTCCACTCACACAATCTAGACAACACACATGAATTAAAGCACTTTGACCAGGATCAATAAGCAGCACACACCTACTTGCAGCACAGGTTGACACCATTAGCTGTGAGTTCACAGCACAGTGCACAGAGCTACACCAGTGAAAGGACTCTGCACTCAGCCTTTCTGTGATTGCTATCGTATGGAAACTCTATTACCACACACAAAAGAATTAGAGGGTTATTAACATCCACACTAAGGCAAAGCACAAAAGTAGGGTAGGACCTGAACTGCATTCTTTTCCTGTATTTTGTGCTATGCCTTCCCCTCTTCTTCGGCCCATTTTCATTTCAGTATGGGCATTAGAATAGAATATACATTCTGTATGATATTCCTCTCCTGATGGTCCATATGTTATTACTACAAGAGAAATACTAGTTCTTTTATACTTGCTTTCAGCAACAAGAAGAAAATCATAGCTGATGTGTCTTGAAGAAATAAAGAATGCATAAGGCATTTCTAATCAATATAAGTAGTTATAACAAGCCATTATTTTTCCTTAGGGGAACATACTAATCCAGTTCTATTTCGTCACATATAATCTTAAATCAGAGGTTATACTACTCCTTTAAGCAATAAATTCAGTGCAGACAACTAAAAATACTAAGGAATTCCTTTCTTCAATATTTTCTCTATATGAAAATAGAATGGAGAAGTTTCAAGGCACACTTTTGGCAAGTTATTTAAAAATAATACCAACACACTTGATAACAACAGTATAGTAATCTGAGTGGATTAACCCCTCCCCAAACTGGTCCTATTACCACCAAAGGAGGATGAGGGAGAGGAGCCATTTTAGGAGCTCCAATTCTTTAGTGTGAGAACACAGCAACCACTTTCAGAATCCATCCGACGTGCAGGCAGTTCCCTTCTGCCATGTGTCTTATTTACAGCATCCTCATCTTCCCACAGCTAGTAAGCATAAGAAAGACAACAATCGGTACCTCCTACAAGAAAGACTTCATCAACCTACCTAATTACTAAATTTTACTTGCACCTTTTTGCCTTCTTTTATGTTAAAGAACATCATCAACAAAATAAAATCTTCCCAACTTGGAACTTCAAATATACTACTAACATACAACTACCTTTCCTGGTCAAGAGGCAGCGAACATTTGTACAATGCACAGCTCCGCTGCACACCTGCAGTCAGACAAGTTTGCAAGAGCCAAGAAGAAAGTATGTTGGAAGTTGCTCTGTAGCTTTCAGAAGCACAGGCTAAAGAACAATAAACAATGGTTATTCATCAGAAAGTACACAAGAGCAACCCATACCAACACTGATCTTACAAGCATGACAGCAAGCAAATTCACCTTCCCTTTAGTGCTCTAGAAGGACAAGGGTGCAATCATTGGCCTTAATGTAGGGAAAACCCCCACAAGCTAAGCACCTTCATCTTTAACACTTTAAAAAGGTAGATTGAATTAGTGAAATCCCTAAGAAGCACTTTCTGGTGCAACTCCACTAAAAAAGAAAAAGCCCACACAATTCCCTAGATATGCATAATTACGAATCCATGACTGCCCTTTTCTAATAGTGCTTTCCCAGGGAAACTCGGCTGCTCCCTAAAAGGAGAGCTCTGGCATAGTCCCATGGCTGGGTAAGCACCTATCCTTCAGGATTCTGCACATCTCTCTAGTCCTACTTCTACAACCTGTCCAGCCTCAACCAACATTTCTTGCTCTCTTGCCCCCTCCCATATATCCCATACACTAAACACTGCCCCTTCAATCCCATCTGTCCAGCCAAGCATTACTTACACTTTTTCTGATGTGCACACAGCTCTGAAACCTATTCTAAGGGGAAAAAATACTTTCTTGTCTGTAACTCCTCCCAGATCAGACATAAATAACCTTTCCATAACAAAAACCTTCAGGGAAAGCTTAGCTGCCTCTTGCACAGGTAAATACCATCTTGAGAGAAGAGCTGTCATTTTCTTTTGTCTTTTCCAGCACAGGAATGAACTGTCCACACGAAGCGTCCTGACCTCAACCTCCCGAAGAGCCTTTCTGCTGCACGCACAGATCGAATACAGCCCAACATCACCTGCTGCGGCTAAATCAATGACACAGTCCTACCCAGTCGATCAATGTCTACCTGGATACAAGCATCACCACCCTTTCCCCCTCCTCCCCAGGGCGGGAGGCCTTCCTCATCCCACCGCACACGCAGGCTGGGAGCCCCTTTCCCGGCAGGAGCCAGCAGCGCTCCCGATAATGCTCCGAAGCATTATCCTCCCTCCTCAGCGCTGGGGAGCCGCCCTTGCTCCACATTAAACACATTTACAAACTAATAACCCCTTGCGATGCCCCCTTCGCCCTCTCAAGGCCTTCCCGGCCCACCTCTCCCGGTCAAGCTCCCCCCATGGGAGCTCACCCGCCTCCGGCCGGGCACAGCTCCCCCCCGGGCCCCGCAGGCCTCCCCATCGCGGGCCGTGCCCCACGCACCCTGCCCCGCCGATCCTACCTCCTCGCTGCCCTCACCACCCACCCTCGCGGTCCCGCAAGGCCGCCTCCTCCAGGCCGCTGCCCCCCGTCCCCCCGCCGGCGCGGACCCGCAGGCGAGCCCAGGGCTGGGCAGGCCGCAACCGCCCGGCTCCGCGAAGAGAGGCCGCATCCCCATTTACCGTCCGTTGGAGGGCTCGGGCCGGGCTGGGCCATGGCTGCGGAGGGCGGGCGGCGCCGCCTCGGCCTCCTCCGCCTCCAGCCGCGGCGTCGGAGCGGGAACCGCTACGCCAGGGGGCCCCGGCGAGAGTCGAGAGCTGCCGGCCCAGACCTCCTCCTCCTCCGCCTCATCCTGACAGCGGCCGCCGCCGGCGGGAGGAGGAGGAGCGCCGCGCAGGCGCCCACGGTGAGACCACGGGACCGGCTGCCGCCACCGGAGCTGGGAGAGCTGCGGCCGCGGTGGCTTCTCTCGGTCCGGCCGCCGCCCGGCACCTGCTGAGGTGCTTTGTCACCCAGTGGCCGAGAGGCGGGGCAGAGCCGGCTCCGGAGGGACCGGGGCTGAGGCCTCCGCCCGTGGCGGGCAGGGCCGGGGCGGCGGCGGCGGCCTCGATGGAGGAGCCGGCGCGGCTGAGGGCGCCCAGCGGGGTTCCCGTCGCCCCGAGTCCACCCTGAGGCTCGATCGCGGTCGAGCCGCCGCCTGCCCCCTGCTCCCGGCCGGTTCTCCCGCCTCGGCCTGGCCAAGCGGCAGCGGGACACCCCCGGGGCTGTGAGGGCCCCAGAACAGTGCTGTGCTGCATAGTGAAGGTGGCGTGGCCGGGGCTGGGGTGGTGGATGGAGCTTGCCGGGTCACAGGATCTCTTCTGCACTGATGGAGGAGGGCATTAATCCTTCCACTGCACTGGGAGATGGGGTCTGAGCTCCATGTTTTTAGCAATAAATAGATTTACATCCGTTGAGGGCATGTAAAACCATAGAAAGAGTGAATAGTTGATACCAAGTCTTGTCATGGGCCGGTCTGTTACAGCTGGCCTTAGGGTTTGCATCCCCAAAAAGTCATTTTTAAGCTGGATCTCACTTGTTCCTGCAGTTTTTAAGGCCTTGCAATCAAAGACATGGTATGGCAAGGTGTGGGTTTCTATGTTTCATGTTGCATTTTTGCTCAGTTGAACCAAATACAAACGTGAAATGGAGAACCTCCGAAAACTAATCTTTTACATTTTTCCTATTTTGAGGTAAATCTTGTCAGGTTTTGCTGTTGTAAAGTACAGGCTTAAACTGAAGACAACTCTTCAGTGTTCCCAACTTGAGATGTGTCGGGCTTTCTTTTTGTGGATATTGGGAGAATCCTGTTGAAAATCTAGGCCTAACGAAGGGAACTGAGCGCTTCAAACTCTCTCCTGGTGTGTGTTTGTATGAGTACCCCAACCTCCCCATACCAGCAGCTGTTTGCATCCTGTTCATGTCATGGCAAAACTCCCACACGTTTTGATTCGGCCTGGATCAGACTCGTGCATCACCCCTGCTGCAAACAGAAGGTAAGATAATATCAAACTTGATATCTGTTGTACCTACAAGTGCTTATTAAGGGATAAATATCATATCTCTTGCATCACTTCCATAGACAAAATATTGACTATTGGAATTGCAGTGTTTCAAAATCTTAATCAGAACTCTTGGGGGTACATATTAAATGGGGTTTATACAGTAGTTTGAGGAACAGAAAAACTGTTACGGGGCTTGTATTCCCCCCCTTCTTGTTTTCCAGCCTAAAGCTGTACTAGCTTTGTAGGTTTGGTTCTTACTTAATCTTTACTTCTTTTTCTAGACAATAATTGAACATGAAAGAGGCCAAGGTTTATGTAGTATCTAGTCACAATGGCTTGTAACCTGGAAGAACTGGGTAATTTCCTCTTTGCCTCCCAAAATGTCCCATTTAATTCTAATCACTTGTAGTTCTCATAGTCTTGGTCTCAAAGGATTTTCCAACATGACTCAGCTAAGCCTTAGAAGAGGCAAGCGAGGTTTTAACAGTGGTTTGCACTCATAGAAACAGGTCTGTTGCAGTGGCAGAACCAGCAGACACCAAAAATCCTGAATTCTGTTGCTGTAAGTGTTGGACAAGCACAGTATTAATGAATCAGTGAGGCATGGATCAGAGCTGAGAGCTGCAGGTGGGCAGAGACTATTTCTGGAATAAGCTGCTCCAGGAATAACAAAGCCTCTAGAATCCCATGCATTTTTATCAAATACTTTTGGCTTGCAAGTCGAACATGGCTGTTTTCAGCATCAGTACCACAAACTGCAGACACGAGGTAATGGAAGATGCATCTTGCTGGGGAGCGTGTGCTGTGCTAGCACAAGCTGGAGGAGTAGCTGGCACCTTGCACTCTGCCTCAAATGTAATCTTACAGCCTTACTGGAAAGGAGAATGTTTGCAGCTTTTGTTTAGACAGTAACATCCAGTGAGAAGCAGTGAGTGTGTACTCTCAGGGGAAACCAGGAGTAAATTGAGGGGGACTGTGGTGGTTTGGTTTGCAAAGAGAGTAGTGAAGTGATTTACACAACACATCTAGAAGAGAAGTATTTTCTTTTTCCCTGAGGAAAGTAAAACAAGTAGCAAAAGAGCTAATTAAACCTGTTTTCCTAATAGATCAGTCTTGTGATTGATTTGATGTTCATGTATGCTCAAGTTCCAAGTGAAACTTCTGTTTTTTAATCTTTCTGTGGTTTTTCTTTTTCTTCTTTTGTTTGTTTTTTTTCTTTTTCTTTAATTGGAGCACTTTAACCTCAACTGAAGCATCTCTTTTCATTAGGCTTTAAAGAATGGTCACGGTCACTATCTCTGAAACTAGTCCCAGATCCTAGGCCCAGATCCTATTTGGGACATGGCCAGAGTTACCCTGGCTGTGTCCCAACTCCGTAACAGGACAAGACCCAATTACATACATTGAACTACAACTTGCAACAAAGTACACAGCTTTGGGGGAAGTCATTGCACACTCCAGCAAGTCCCTTGGTGTGGATGATCAGAGGACAAAGGCCTCTGATAGACTGATGAAGAGTATAATCATGAAAGCTTTGTATTTGTAGGAAGTGAGACTAATAAAATACAGAAGTAATTCCTTTAGTTTTGAATGGTACAAGATACCGTTGTTTTATACAACAGCGAAGCTGATTATACAAAAAACAGAGTCTTTAAAAAGGTAAACTGAAGTTCTGGACTTGCAGGGCCAAGGCTACATCTGGTGTGAATTCAGAAGAAACAGGCTGATGTGTGGAAAATGAGAAGCTGGCCTGTAACACAGAATCAAAATGGAGATCAAAAAGACCCTCTGAATTGTGCTGTTTCCCATTTACGCTGCTTTACTGGCCTACTGGCCACAAAGAAGTTCAGTTCTATTGTGCCCTGTATGGTAGGAGCATGCAGTGAATTACAGGCCCTGCTCCCCATGGTGTTCATCTCATAAACCATCCACTGTTTAATTCAATTCATCCAAGAAAGCTGAGTAAGAAGGCAGATTTGGGAAGAGGCTTTGTGGATTGCTAGACTAGACTCCACTGCACTCAGAGAGGAAGAAAACTCTAGAACTGAGGATCCCCTGCCTGAGCAAGTAGGAAAACTAATTCCAAGACCAACTATCCCACATACTATCGATAACCATCTATCCTACATGACTCTACCTGTAGGTGTTACACAGTGAAGATTTTGGTAAGAGACTCCTTCCCTGAACAAACCATGAAATGACTTTGTCTTGAGATGAGTGCAACAGGAATGTTTGAATGTAGAGAGTCAACATCTGTCCAGACAAAATTGAGTGCAGGTGAAGCCCAGGGAAACAGAAGTTGTATTTATCTTTAAAGAGGGACTCAGCTGCTCATGATAGCAAGTCTTGAGTTCATTCAGAAGGCAAATACTTGTCCTTCTAGCAAAAGAGAAGAGGAAAACCAGAACTTACTGCTTGCACTTTAAATATTTCTAGGTTTGCCAGAGTTTGTCTACTGTTTTCCTCACTCTTTTATTTGTTTAAAATAAAAAATCTTCAGACTTCCCTAATGTTTAGAAGTTTATTTTCCTTTTGTTGAGATTGATAGGGCATTAGAATTAAGTATTAGTTCTGCAGATATGAGTGTTTGTAGGTTTTGGTCCTTTCCTTTTAATACAAACCTTTTGGACAAAATTTACATTCATCTAAGTATTACCATAAAGAGGTTGGTTAAAAATCCCAAACCAGTCATGCTCTTTGCTTCAAAAGTTATTCTGGAATGCAAGGAATTCAGTCTGGAACAATTACATTATTTGCAATGGTAACTTCTTAGCGAACCCTGGAATAGTTCATGTGGTTAAAAACCTTTTCATGAGCTATTGAAAAATCATGTTATCCCATCTATTGTTTAAAGGATTCCATGTGGTCCAGTTCTTTGAATATATGGGAAGCAAATGAAGCCAAAAATGAAAATCTGGCAGGCAAAAAACAAAGTGCTTGCATTGGCCCTAAATCCAGATATATGCGCATTAATGATCTCATTTGAAAGATGTCTATATTAAGATTTGAAAGCCCTCTGGGTTCCCAAGGGGCAAGCTCATTGAATATTGTGATGTACCATGAAACTAAACAATTTTTCTTACTGCAAAATAAGCAAGGAATCAGAAACTTATTCAATGTGCATAGCAAAGGACACATTAAGAGCATAGTCCTTTGGGTAACCTTGCTCAGCAATGCTTCATTAGAATTGTCACTGCAGGGAGGCACAAAACCAACACTGCTTTGTACTTACATACCCCTTCACTGCAAGATCTAAAAATATGCCATAACCCATTTAGACTCCCTATACCCATATTAACAAAGTTGTCTACAGACACACAGGGAAGGAAGAAAAGGGGTTCAGTAGATATGCTGGCAAAGCTTCCCATACTGGTTTAAACTGTCTTAAGATTGAGTGTCGGACTGAGCAGTGTTTAGCCTTAGTCCAAAACTGCCTTCATCAGTGACTTAAGCAGAGATACTGGACTTTGTATTGCAGTAGCTAAGTGTGGACGCACAGTCCCTCCTGCCAGCTCTGTTACTGTAGCAGGATTTTATGATAGATGAGAGCAGGCATCAGCAGGGCCCATGTCAGTCCCCACACATTCATCAGACATTGCCCAGCAAAGCCCAACGTGGTCCAGCAGCAGAGACAATGAAGGTAGTGGAACCCAGAAAGAACTCCTGGTTTTTGCTCTGAGGTAATATTTTTCTTTTAAAAAAACCTAAAATAACAATGGGGGAGCTGCTTTTTGGGTCTGTTTTGCATGTAAGTATTGCATGGAATAGTAATCTTCAGAAGAACAGACCATGTTAACGGTAGCATCTCATGCATTCAACTTCCAAATCTTGAGAAGAGCAATTCATTAACATCGATAAGATGACCCATATCAGATCTGCAGGATTTGGGCCATTTATCCCATTTTCTTCCTCTTAGGCACAAGCAGATCAGATATCTCATAAATTCTAATGATTGCAATGCCAAGAGAAGGATGGAGCATTGCAAGTATTATGAAATTCCTTGTCCCATGTGTGTCATATTAAGTGGTGTAATCAGAAGGCTTCCATGTCAAGACTTTAACAGCAGTGCGCATTTTGGGGTGTTTTATTAATCCAACCTCTGTTAACTCTTAGTATGTCTGTTTCAGAACTGCCTCTGGCGATATTTAGAAGAACATGATACCCAAGAAGACTCAGCAATCTTTGTGTAAACCATGGACCAACTGAGGAGATTCCAGAGGATTTCAGAGGATCACCAGATCTTTGCAAATCCTTCAGCTGAACAAGCTCACCCTTCTGAACTCTTTCATCCAGGTAGGATTGCTGGAAGCTCCAAAAGAATAGCTCGAGGCCTCAGGTGGGACTCTTCAGTGATTCCAGAGCCTTTTCCAGGCCTCTGCTTGTGCCTATGTGCCCAGAGGCAGACCAAGCCAGGTACTTGTTAGTACAAGTTTAAATCCTGCATCTTCAGTCAGTGAGTACCCCCAGTTATTCCAGCTGTTTCCTCAATATCATCCCATCCTTATGAATCCTTTTATTCCCTATTTTTCCCAATTTCTCTTAGGTGTTAAAGTGGTCTCTCTGTTTGCTGCTTTATTTTACTAGAGTGCCTTTTCCAGAGCTGCATCCTTTAGATGGAGACACACAAAATATTTTATACTTCTATGACACTTTTCAGTGGAAAAAGAGCCTTTTAGTGGATCTGGAAGAGAAGAAATTATCTTGGATTTACAAGCCTGAGGATACACAAAAGTCAGCAATAGTGGGGGGGAAATTGAGCATGTATCTCTTATTTCCTTATAGCTTTTTTGCTATAAAGCAGATTTTCTTTGATTATTCATCACACCTTTAAAAGTGTCAAAAAGCTTCTGACCTTCTTTGAAAAACAGCTGAAGACAAACATCTGTTGTGAAATGAATGCTTCTTAACAGGTGAAAAAGATCAAATGAACTCATTTTCTATGGAATCTCGGTTTGATTCTCTCATAAATGTTTGCTGCTGAGATATGCTTCCCTGCCTTACTCTTTCACTGTTCATGCAGCACTATAGATCCCTTCTTCTCTGAGGCCACAGGAGGTTTCACATTACGTTGTTAACCTCCTTCAGATCATCTTCTCCATGCATAATCCGAATTACATTTACATGCAGATATAATGCCATTCATCCTACTTTATTCCACTTGCATCTCTCCTGTTGCTATGGGGAACACTGATAAGGAGCCAGTTAGCAAATAAAATATTTGAGGAGGAATGTGAAAGCTGCTACTTGGTGGATTTGTAATAGGTAGTGATACTTGATTTGGCATTTGTCCTTACCTAGCTGAGCTGCTGCCACTGCAGCTTCAGCTGCGTTCTTTGTAGTCAAAACATGCTCTTCCCACAGGAGTTAGAGGCTTAGGCATGTAACTGTATCTGACCCTGGGGAATTTTTGCAATTCTCATGAGAGGAGGGATTGCTTTGAAAGAGCTTTTGCTGGCATGGAAGTACAAAGAGCACCATCCAGTGTCTAATCAGAGTAAATACACAAAAAGTCGATGCAATTGAGGCAAAAGCGTCTCTGCACGTCTCATAGTCAAGCTACACTTGGTGGGATGCATGATGACCTACATAAAAAAAGACTACAGTCAATTATAGAAGAAGATTCTAAGGGAAGGCTGGCAAAATTTTCAGACTTTCAGGAAGCCAAGTGACAACCTGGAAGAGCACATCTTTTAAAGAAGAGCTGTTTTCTGGGTTGGAGTTACTGATGACTGAGGGAGCAAAAGGCAAAAGCAGGAGGAAGTGCAGGTGTCAGTAGATGGAGCTGGTGAAGAAAAGGATGCATATTAAATCCTTAAAGGGAAGGACCTGTAGCAGAGAGAGAAAATAAGGCCAAATCCTTGTCCTGTAATCCTTCCCCTTCGCAGAGTGGAATCAGCACAAAGAGGCTAAGAAGTTACACTGGTAGCTGAGAAACTAAGGGAGCAGTGGCTTCAGCTGCCACTGCCCAGTCTCAGCAGCCTTGTATTGTTTGACAAATGCAGATAATCCTGGACTTCAAGAGGGAAAATTATTTGGAAAAAGGTCTTGTACAGAAGTGTGCAAGCAGTAGTCATAATTCTGAGTAAGTATGGTTATAGGTTTTGGTGGGCTAGAGATAAGGAACTAATAGGAGAACAAGGAGTCCATGAGGCTAAAAATGGGCACAGACAAAAATTAATATTATCTCCAAAGAAGTGACACCCTAATAGATGTCCAAGAAAAAACATGAAAATTTTCCATGGACCAGTAGTTGTGCAGCAGTCTGTGGAAACTCCAGGTAAACAAGAAAACAGGGATGTTTGGTACGTTATCAACAGGATATTTATTAATCAAAGATGCAGAGTGCTCCAGTTTAGCACAATGTGTGTAGTAACATAGCGCTAATATATCCTCCCTAAAGTCAGACTTTGGGCTGGCATAATTCAGAAATGTGGTAATCCAAGACAGCTCCTCTGTTGTTTTCAGCATTCCCAGGAACAACTTAGCATGTGTTCTTACTCTTTTTTGTATTGAACTTGTGGAGCAGAACCCACTTCTTTGATTAATATTAAGCAGAGTTTTGTTTGTACCCTGTGGCAGAAGTGCCCAGACAGAGCGGTTTGAATACTGAAAACATGAGAAGCATTTAATGTTCTGTGGAGCTCTGTTAAAGTTGTCTGAATAGAACATCTGGTATCAAATCTTTGGATTAAACAGTTTCTGCAAGTATTTGGACCTGCTCTGGGTCTGTGCTTTGTTCCAGCTTTACATTCCCTCTCTTCCTTCCTTGTTTCTAGAGCCAGTAGATGATGGTTTATTGCCTGGTGCAACCCATTAAACTCCCTTTGTTGGGGCTTGGCAATTAGTTTAGCAGTAAGAGTATAAAAATCACTTTGGCATCTGTGGGATTGGAATGGCAACACTGACTTAAGATCTCCCTGAAAGGCTTTTTATCTGTCCTCAAGGTGATGGAGAAAGAGCAAAGAGTGGTTATCCAGAGACCTAGGGAAGGTATTGTCTGTTGTGTCTGCGGAGTGTAACCCTGCTGGAGAGTTTTTGTCTGTAAACTGTCTCTGCACCCCGTAGGGACCTAATGTGGATACATCCATGCAAAACCTCCCTGCCAGGGGAAGGGAATGGTATCCCACTGCTCACCACTGACAGATCCCAATGCTAGTCCTGCTTTATGTGCAAGAAGAACTCCTGCAGAGTTGCAGCGTGAGAAGGGGAAGTGGGAACTGTTGTCATGTTGTATGACTGATGCCATACAATGGATAGAAGTGCTTATACTTAAGTGATCCACAACCCCAGTCTTCCAAAACACACATCACTGCTGGGCACAGTGAGGAAGGGCAGGCTCACGTGTTCTTCAGTAACTGAGACAGCAGAGGAGAAAGGTCTGATGCACATGGACCACCTAATATAGAGGTGTTTGAGATTAATTCATTTCACTTGAGGAAGTATTTCAGCTAAGAAGGGCCAAGCACACAGAGCTCCCATTGCCCTTCTTGGGACTGAGGACACTTGGCTCTGGTCCTTGGCAGGTTCTCAGATGAGTGGTGTTGCAAATCACCTGAATTTACCTGTGCAGAGGCTCTGATTCCTGGAGGTGGGACCAAAGCCATGAAGGAGCATCAAATGGGAATTCCTAAGTTGCATTCAGAATATTGTGAAGCAACTGTTTTACATGCAGTAAGCAAGAAAAATGTCTCGCAATGTAACATCTTATGCTATTGAGGAAATGAGATATTTTGAGTTATATTCCTTTAAGATGTCTTGCAATATTTGAAGGACTGATTTGCTTCTCTTTTGTCTTGTTTTTAGGCTTGATACATCAAGCAAATTTCACTGGAGTTATTCTTGCCTCACACCAATGGTAAGAGGAAAGAGAAGCATGTTTCATGTTATTTTGTGCCAGATGTTTCGTTGGTAGAAATCCATAGCTCCACAGGCACCAATTTCTTCAGAATCTGGAATGTCTGGCACAATTTCTTCCTCCATTCTGGACAGTCTGTGAAGGAAACTGCTTTGTTTTGCAATATTGAATATTCATGCTGGGAAGTTATAAGCAAAAGCAAAATAATGAGAGACAGGGTCTCTAATAAGCTTCCTGTCACATGAGGCTCTGGTTCTGTTGAAGCAGATGTGGTTGCTGACTTGTTTCCAAAATGTTTGTTGAGTGGTGATTAGATTCTGTCATACTGATGTTATCTCTCTCTGATCTCCTTCAATACAAGTAGTTCTGCAAACAGTGAAATCTTTTTTTCCTATGGATTTATATCTTGGATTGTGTTTCACCATGGATTCTGTGATGCTTGTTGGAGATTGAGTTCATTTTAGCCTGTTTCTTTAATGAGAAATGAATAATGTGTCTTCTTTATTTGTCTATTGACTTTCACAATTAACTATCTCAAGTATGTCAAATTTGAGTGGGAATTATGAACCAGTTCCAGAGTGATTTGGGGTCAACTCATGTAAACAGACATGAACACAACTCTCATTTGCTTACAAAAGCAACAGGTAAGTATCAATTGTAAAATATCTTGTCCTTGTGTATTACCTGCTTGATTCTGTTCTGGTTTGTGATAAATCCTAGAAGATGTGCTTTATTTGTAAAGCTGTATAAAATATGGGAATTGATTTGCTACATTGACTGCATATTAAAACCTCATGAATTTATACTTGCTATGGGCTACACAAGAGATTTCATTCTTCCTTTTTTGTCCTTGCTGGATCATGGGAAAGAGGTGACATGCATTTTAACTTATATGTTTGCACAGGCAAGTGCAGAGAAAGAACAGATTGTTTTTCCTTTAGGATTACTCCTCATCAGTTCTGGTTTGGAAAGGAAGAAAGGAAACCTAGAATTGAAAATGACCTTTAGGTTGCTGAGTACAGTCTTCTGCTTCTGCAGTGAGCCACATTCCCAATCTTTTTCATAAAGAGATTGTGCTATTCAGCAATACGCTCTTTCCTCCTTGTCTCTCCTGTCCTTCCACTTTCCTACTTTATTTGGGTGTTTGGTCCAGAATTTCCTTCTCTTGGTAGGAGGAAACCTTCTGATTTCCATGGTCAGTTTATGTATGTTTGGTTTTATTCTAGGAACATCTCTGAGGGGTCATAGTTCTTTTCTACACCATGTATCTAATCTGAGACTGTACATGTGATCTGCTGTGCCGAGGCCAGTAAAGCAGGTAGGAGTTAGTCTTCCATTAACTTATTTCCCTCATACTTTCACTGTCTATAGCAAATTCTTCATGCATTTTTCATGATATGTCACATAAGCAAAGTTCTTTGGATCACAGATAATTTGAGGAACTGGTCAAGTGAGAAGGGTGGTGGGAAGGTTGGCAGCAGTCTCAACTGGTTATATGAAAGTTAAAGATACAGTGAAAAAATGTGAGGAAATCCTAGCCATTTTAGCTTGTTTGTACTAAGTGAGAGGCCTGTAGTCTTTCCCCCTTCCTCTATGTTGATTTTCAGGTGTTGGTAACATCCAGTCAGACTTCATGTGGTTTCACAGGGGTTTCATGGGGCCTGACCTGGGAAATTGCAAGCTTCCTTGAGTGTCATGTGCAGGGTCAGAGTTCTGTACCTTCACCAAAGCTAACTTTTCTTTCATACCCGTCTCAGTAAGAATACAAATCCATCTTGATTTTAACCATTTTACTTTTATAACACGTCTGAGTAACCTTATTATCATCTCTGTGATTAATAACCCTACACTAGCCCTTCAAACTCTCTACTTAGTTTTTACATTGAAAGGTAACATTTGCTTTATCTGGAGTAGGAAATGGTTATATGGCTATTACAAAATGTCAGCAGGATTTAAGAATAAAGCTTTAAAAGAATCACCACCAGTTCTTTCAAACCTCTTTGATACATTTTAAGTTGCACTTTAAGTTGCACCTATCCAATTTTCTGCATACCTGTTGAGAACAGTCCTACAAGACAACTCTAGAAGTCTCTCTCACTGTCTTTTTTATTCTTCTGCAAGGTTAGTTTAGTTTGTTTAATGTAAAAGAACAATTCATTTTAAAATGAAAAGCATGAAGGTGGAGCAGTAGTTAAAGAGGTAGAAAAAGTAGATGAGACAAGAAGGTACGAAGTAGATCATCAATTTGATGTATTCAGCTTCACTTGTGCCAGGTAAGAGGTGGCGTCTGTTTACGGTTAAAGAGGAACAATCATGTGGAAACAGAGCAAGAGCTAGAGATCAGGACTCACACATCTTCAACTGCAAAGTAGCCAGATTTCATCATTGTGTTTGATAATGGCCCTTTAAACTGAGCTGGATCTCTGAAAGGTCCCAAGAGATGGCAATGGAAATTTTAAACCCAGATTTTAAGACTGTGGTTGTTCTTGCAGTGGAGCTTTTCCTATAGGAGACCATGTCAGCTGGAAACAGTGTCTGTGTTACGGTGACCCCCATGTTGGTGCTAACCAGCCATGCTTGGATGCTGGGTGCAGAGGCCTGCTTCAGACTCTTCAGATGCGAGTGATCTCTGAACAATGCTCATCCTGGTCTTCAAGAAAACATACCAGCAGCCAAAGATAACTGGAGTGGAATCTGGCTAATCCCATCATCTTCCACACCGATTCCCTTCCTCCTCTGAGCCTCACCCTGTCCCAGGGGTCTGCAAGGGTGTGTGTGGCAGGCAGCCATCACCCAGGAATCTCCCCTCTGCCTGGCAATTCAAGACTGGGAGGGATCTTTCCTGTTTTCTGGCCCCTTTCAGGACTGACAAAAGGAAGCCAGACGCAGCCTGGAACTTATGCCAAAGTTTTCCAAGTCTTTGTTAACTGGCAGGATGATGGAAATCAGCCAGTAGCGTCTGGGTGTAAAAGTAAAAGGAAATCAGATGGAGCCTCCAAGAGTCTAACAGGAACTGCAGATGGTTGGGAATGAATGTCCTAACTTTGGGGTTTTTTTAATATTAAATTTTAACAAATGATACAACAAAGAGCAATCCACAGCCACCCAGCAGATGCTCATATCACCAGAACAGAAGCACACACACATTCCTGCTCACCACACAAGTGCTGTTAATGATCTCTTTGCCATGTTATTTGATTGTTAGCCTGGCTATAAGAATATACTGTCTACCTATGTGTCAGCTTGTTTATCTCACGTGTCCCTTCTTAAGCCATTGACTGTTCTTAGCCACCTCTTGTAGAATGAAAAAAGTCTCAAAGTCATTAAATCCTAAAAAATTCATTACTGTAGGTAGCCAGGTCTGTATAGAGAATAAGGGAGGATACCCTTCTAAGAGGACAGAAAATCTACACTTGGGTAAATCCTTAAGTCTGTTGCAAACTGGGCTTCAAAAGCACTTAGCATAACATGTTTATCTAACACTACCAGCTTTTCCTGGGACTGGCAAATGAATTATTTAGTAATGGAAACTGCATGTTTATCTGTTTGGCTTCTGTGCGTTCATGTTATAGAAAACTGTAGGAGTGTCTGTAGGGACTGCAGCTTTGTGTCATAGACCCTGTGTCTTAACAGGAAGAAGAGAGAAGAGCATGGAGAGGCAAGTTTTAGCTTTTATTGCTAATACTGTGTAAAATAGCCTTTGTGGTCTGCAGACTCAGACCTGCGCAGGTCTGTGTGACCTAAGATTTATTACACCACTGCCATATTTATACATCTCTCTCCAGATCCTGGATATGAAAGAAATTAAAGGTCCAAAAGTTCGGCTTCATGTTAATGCATCCAGATATACCCAATATTTAACTTCTCTGGACAAAGGAACTTCATTGAAGGCTGGCTTGTCCTATTACATTGTGCAGGTGTCAGCACTGTATGCTGCAAAGCTTCCTGCAACCTTAGTGATAAAAAAGAATAAAAGCCAAGTGTATGCTCAATGGGAACCAGATGGAATTTTCATTAGATATGACTTCTAATGATCTGCTATAAAAGTAAAGATACACCATTCCGAGCAGAAGAAGGACCTCCTTCAGCTTCGTTTCGGTCCCAGGCTTATTATCTTAGCTACAGATAAGCAAGATTGCAAGATCTTTGTATCATTAGGAATTCTAGTCAAACTCTCCTACACCATTATTAGAATTCCAAACACAGCAACCCAATTTTGGGGCCTTAACAATAACTTTCCCTAAGATGTATCTTTATTTAATGATTCAAAGTTATTATTATGGGCCTGGCAGTTGTTTGCTCAGTTTCTGGAGTGTTACCATGTAACCTGGGTCAGAATAAAGATCCTGGAATATTCATTGCAGGGCAGAGCTTTTGCTTCTTCAAGGGCCTGGTCTTCACAGTGAGCTTTGGTATGACTCTTGCCAAGTGGTGTTCCTGGCTGTGAGAAGTGACCCCAGCAGTCTAGAAGGCCTCAAGATCCTTCCTAAAAGGACAAACCCTGCAATCCATGCCTGTAGGTACTAAATCAACTTCTGACAAGTAAAGAACAATAAAATCCCAGGGTTTTAGGAGTAGATGGTTGTTGCCAAACCACAATAAATGCTTTTGTCTGGAACTCATGGAACAGTAACATAGCAATGGAGGGTGTACCCTTGTCTGTTATTCCCTCTGAGCAAATTCTCAGAGACATGTTACCAGGATTCAGATAGTTTTCATGGAACTAGTAGAGTAATAGGCTTTCATTTCTTTACAAAGGGAGGAAGAGACAATGGAACTCAGCAAAACTTATGGCAAGTTTTTGTTCCTGTCTGAGGGTTATGTAAGCAAAACCACTGCCCATCCTCAGACAGAACTCTCTAAAGTGAGCCTCACCTGAGAAAATCTGTGTTACCTCTTTTCTGTTATGAGCTGACAAAATTGCTTTACTTCTTCTGCCTGTGTATAATTACAACCTATGTCTCCAGATGATCTCCAGCTGGAGAGCATGAATCACAATCCACATTCAAGGAAGTTTGGAGCTGATGTTCTGGTTCATTGTCACCTCTGCAAATACATACAAATAATAATTTGTAGAAAATAATTTGTAGAAAACAGCTACATAACTAAAAAATACCTGCATGAATAAAAAAGCAGTAAGCCTCTTGTTTTCCTAAGACAAGGACTAGAGGGATCAAGTCCAGTGATACTCTATCACAGACTATTCATTAAGCACCGTTCTGAAAACAGGTTTTTCCCACTCTCTCTGTTAGAAACCTTCTTCAATTTCCAGACTAGAGTTACTAACGACTAGTTTGTTCACATATATTATTATGCCGAACGTGTCTTTAAGTTTCAATTGTACACAAATAGAATGTGAGCCTAAATATTTGGGTTCTTTTGGGTTTTGTCTCTTTCAGGGGAAAAAAAAAAAAGATAAGATCACCTTGTATTCTAGATCAAATTATTTCCTCCTACAATTCAATAAGCAAAAGGAAGAGATGATAAGAGAGTGCTTTGTATTTAGGTTTGTGTAATTTAGTCAGAATGCTCCAGCCTTTTAGCAACAGCATCCCTGCTCTACTGATTGCTCCTGTTACCTTACATCCAAGTAAATACAGTCACTTTTCTTCCTTTGTGACATATTTGCAGAAATCAGGCACGTGCCCTCTCTCCCTGTGTTCTACAGTGAAAAAACCAAACAGTTCTCATACAGTGGTTTCTTCTTCAGCCATTTGGGTGGCCTTTTTATGATTCAGGGGAGCTTTCTGAGCGTGGTGACCAAACCTACACCCCATTTGCACAAAGCCAGTTCCATCAGATTGTGATTACAGTGAGGGGTAGGAGGTTTCCAGATACTAGTGCACAGTAGTAGAAGAGGACTGATTGATTTTCTGAGGATGAATCCTCAGCAAATTCTAAGCAGGTGCCTTTATGAAGGATCTAGTTGTGTAAGCCTCAGTCACTCAAGGGGAAATCTTGTCCTCAGTAAATAACATAAAATACACTCCTGAACTGGCGATGGGCCTGTTGCCTACACATTAAATAACCCCCTGAATTGCTTGAAGTAGTAGCATTTGGTGTCCTTTATTCCCAGGTGCAGTAGTGTTTGCATATGCATGAAGAGCACTGTGAGTTACTGTTGGAGTGTTTCTAGCATCTCAGGAAAGGCAGCTTCTCAACAAGGTAAGTAGATCTTTTGTGGAATCTTTGCTGCCACCACTGAAGTATTCCACCAGAGAAGTTGTCTGGAGAAGTGGTAAGAGCAAATACAAGTGACCTCCAGAACAAAATACTCCTGTTGAAAAGTTAAGTTGTTTAAGATCTGATTTTAAGAGGTCCTGGATACCTTCTAGAAGTTGTTTCCTAAAGTGTCTGCACACCAGGACCCTACATATTTTAAACTGAGCATGCAAAAACACAGCACGGATGGGCACTCTTAAATGTGGTGGCCTACGTGACTTCCTTGTAGCCACTTGGCAGTGCAATAATAGAAGTAGGAACACAGGATTTCTTATGTCTATTGTGTCCATTAGAACAATACTCCTGAGAGCAACTAAGACCAAAAGCCTGGCCTTCAAAATATATGACTTGAAAGGAAAGCTGCATTTTTTTGGTAAGGTCCAAATGTATTTCATTCAGCTTTGCTGCTACTCCCAAAGTTTGGTTGTAAACAAGTATGATTTTTACCCTGGAAGCCACACATCTGGATTGCAGTGCCTGTAACTGTTTTCATCATCACAAGTAGTTACTTGCTTTATAAGGTTCTGTGTGTGCAGAAAGCAGCTTGTAAGAGGTAACCTGAGCAAACTCTATTTTATAATTGAAGAGCTTAAATGTCTTAAATTTATGGCAGCAAGGTGGCCACAGCCATAACTTTCTCTGTATGACCCTGAAGTCTTTAAAGTCTGCATTTCTAGTCCTGCAGAGTTCTGATTCTGACTGCTCCCTCTCAAACGTCCATGCTGACTCTTTGTCTAGATAGGTCAACTGTCCAAAGCAATGCTGGACCAAGTGCTTTCATGAGAGATGAATGTGAACGTGAGTTCACCTACAGCTGTAACCCTTTTTGTAGCTACACAGCAATAAAACTTGGAAATTAAATTCTGTACATCATAAATATAGTGATGTATCTGTCAGTATTATCAGTACTCAATGCCAAATGACAAAATAATGTTGCACCTGAATAACTTTGTTGTTTCCTCACTGCACAGTTGGTGCACAGTATGGACAAGGGACCACGGAAAAAGACAGACTTTTAACCTGTGCACATACAAAGCAGGGTTTTGGGGGTACATGGCTGCTGGCAGAATGAGAAGGGGACATGAGCTGTTCACTCTAAGGGGCTGAGGACACCTGGAGAACCTGTTTGTTTGGAGGACCTGACAGACTTCACTGGTTCCCTGCCTTCCCTTGAAAAGGTCATCCAAAAAGCCTTTCAAGTGTCCCAGTATGGTGGTAAGGTCCTCAGTGTGAATGAGTAGAATAGAATGCTTTTGCTGTTATCTTCTGCTCCTAAATTGTTGCTACTCCTGCTAAACCTGTGGCTTGACAACTGACTTCTGGGTAACTTGTGGCTGATTACCTCAGGTTCTCCTTTACACTTGTCTGGGCAACTTTTGCTCTCACGAGCAGAAATAGAGACATGAAATACTAACCACATCGCTTCAAGCAAACAAATGGGACTGTGCACCCCCAGTCTGAGTAATGCCATGGCGTGGTGTTGGTTGAAGCTCTGCTGCCTTAAAGATAGCACAGGATGGGTGGGCTGTGAAAGCAGAGACAAAGATGTAATGCATATTCTCTGGCATTCTTGAATAACACCCTCTTCTAACTGGGTGATACTGTTGACCTGTTTCATAAATCATTAATAAGTGATACTTCTGAATAAATACTTTCTCTGTATCTTCTCCAACACTAAGGATTAATTTTGCATGGGTCTATGCATTTACTCTGTTCTTCAGCAGTGACAGAAAGTGATCTCTTGGCCAGATTTTATGAATTATGTTGAACATTTATTACATATTATGATCTTTCTGGATGATATAAAGGCAATTCCAGGGATCTGTCTTTGTTTCTGTCTAACTTTTTCTTCTCTAATGAATTGCAGTATATAGATACCTGTAATTTACATCCTGGTTTTGAGTTTAAAGTAAGATCATGGTTAATGTTTTCTATGAAGGAGGGTGGTGAATAGAAGAGTTCACTGACTTCTCAGCTCTGGAATCACCCAAACATGGGGTTACATTCCAAACAAAATAGTTGGTGGGTTTCACACCAGTTTTTACCAGTGCATATCCCAGTGTTGCTGTTGGGAAAACCTGGATTTATTAAGGCAGTATTTTTGAGAACTTGGCTCCAGCACCACACAGCTGGCAACAAGGAAAAAATAATCTAAGGCAGCATGTGAAAAACTTGCTGTCTAGTAAGACTGTGAATTTTCCAATAACTGCCTCCAGTAGACCACCCTATAACACTGGTTGCAAACATAGAAAGCCTGACTTTCTCTAGTCATATAAATCAAATGTAGATGTTGAAACGCCAACCTCCCACTATTTGCCTACAACCTTTTCTTTTCATCTCTTACTGCTCATGTTGCTTTTTTCTTTCCTGATGTCCTTTCTCTCATTGATGCTCTCTTTCAGTACCACCACCCAGAACCAAGAGGGGCTTTTAGCTTTAATGGCAGAACAGGAGCCAGCAGATGATGAAAAGAAGCTTCTCTGGGCAATTTTAGCTAACACCAGCCAGAGCAGTGACAAGTTTTGGTAAATATCTCTTGTTGGAGCTCATTAATGTACTACAAATTTAGCCCTGTTTTCCTTACTAAAACTTAAGCATTTTTTAAATGTTTTTATTGCCTTGATACCATGTTACAAGAAAAAATGTCTTCTACAGCAAAACATACCAAGAACAGGGATGAGTGCAAACCAAACACAGCAGAAAGTAAATTAGCTATGAAACCACTTACTTCAGTGCAACAGGGACAGCTTTTCCTTCTCTGAGAATGTAGAACTTTTTCTCTATTGGAGCTCCTGACATAGGTCAAAGCATTGCACTACACTGAAATTGCAATTCTTTTCCTCCCAGAGACACCTAAACATTGCCCCCAATCACACATTTTGTTGGAATAGAAGAAAAACCTAGTCCTCAGAAAGACTGAAACCCACTCTGCCTTCCCAAGGCAATAACTATGCAACGTTCTCTCTGCAGATGCTAGACAGAAAGATAAGGAGAACTTGGAACATAAAACTGTGGATTCCATACCATGACTACTTCTCAGATCTCTATTCCAGTCAGTTTGTACTGACTTTCAAAAGCATGCCTTCTCCAGGAACACAGCTAACATGAGCACTTTACTCAGGTGCTTCAACAGAACTCCACCGATCTTCTGTTCTGTCAGGTTTTGTTCTCTTAGCACCTCTACAAAAAGGGATTCTGAAGTGAAGAGATAACCCATACATTTATCTTTTGGTCCACACTAACATATTAAACAACACCTTCCTGTACCTGTTGCCAGATGAAACCAAAGTGCAGATAGTTACCCAGACTCCTGGATGTGCAGTCATCTCTGGCACAACAGTTCATCTGATGTCAGCACTTGTGTATGGGTTGAAGTGTTTATAGGCTGGCAAATTCCCTTTGTGAGGACCTGTTCCCAGGCTAGTGTACCTTACAAAGACAAAATAATCCTTTTTCTTCCTTGTTCAGTATTTCTTTTAATGTTACGAGATAATTGACATTTCTTCCCTCTCTCTGCTCTCATTTATCAAGGTGATAATGCTTTTGAAGTATTTCATAAATTCCATCCGAACATCTTCAGGATCTTCTTCCAAGTTGGAGTGTATCAGTTTTAGCCTGTTCAGTGGGTAAGCTTTGAAGGTAAGTAAAAAACAATTAGATATATTCCTTTTATAAAAGAAATACAGTCAAGGTCATGGGACAGCTCATGCTGAAGTCAATTGGGCTTCAGCAGTATCCAATGTTTGATACCCCAGATAACACACAACACATGAAGAAGAAATGCATCATAGCTTTTTAGCACTATAAGCAAGTACAACTTGTTGCTAGGTTAAATTCTTCAAACATTATTATTAAAGCTTCAAGTCCTGGGTTTGGTCTCACATGCAGTTAGGCAGAATCAAACAATTTAACATTGAACTGCAGTTTTACTACTGAAGTGTGTCCTGGTTTTAGGTAAACCATGACAAAGTGATAGGACATTCTTTGATTATATCAAAATAATGGAACAATATTGTTATATTAAATATGTATTAATTGAGTAATACTTGTAATTATTTAATACTGGAATAGTATTTAACACTGGAACAGATTGCCCAGAGGAAGTATGTGTTCTCATTTGTATGAACAGCCACAAATACATTTGGAGTACATAAGGTACCTATTACTAGTTTTAAGAGGAAGATCATTAGCCTTTTATTTCAGAGGGCTCCTGTTCTTTTGATGGATAAAATGCAGGCTCACGTGGCCCCAGGAGTGTCAGTTAATAAAAGATAAAATTTAACATCAAAACCAAACTCCTAGTGATGGCACAGTATGGCAGGAGTTCCAATTCCTGGGTCAGCTGCATACTCACTGTGTGACCTTAAAGCAGTCACTCAACTTTTCTTGTCTTTACTTTCCCTTTTGTGAAATAGGCTTATTGCTCACCTTCTAGATGACCTTTGAAATTCCTTATTTCTGGTTTTGCAAAACAGTCCAGCAGATGTAAATGAAAAGGGTATGGACAATTGTAAAGATAGATCAATGAAAAACAGAGTTACAGGTTGAGTTTTCCTCTTCTTACCCAAGGACAGATCTTCTGTGTCACCCCCACTGCCTGGCTTGTGATGTGCAACTAGGAGACACTGACTGTCAAGCAGTGACTGCTGCTGCACGAAACAGGAGTACCACATTTCAATTTCTTTCAGGTGACTGGGCAGCTCAGGGTTGAAGATTATTATTACCCCATGAGAGTCCTTCATCAGAGCTGGCCAGCATGTTTCAAACCTTGAAAAACAAGAGAATGATAACAGAAACACGCACTCAATCTTCCTCAAGTTTTATTCTTCCCTCTTCAAGAACACATTTCAGTACTTTATTGTAACATGAGTGATCGATCATATTCCAAATGTTTTAATTTACCTATTATAGTTGTCGGTCCTGTGATTTACTGACAGTGCACTATTTGGTCAAATGCTTATTTAAACTTTTTTCCCTAAAAGTGGATCTGCCCAGTTCTCAATTGTATCTTTTGGAAATGAAAGCCTACATCACAGGTACATTGTTTGAAGTCCACTCACATAACTTCAAGGAGATAAAGACAGTTACAGAGTGGGCCTCTGTCTCCTGTACCTATTAACTTCATTCTAGGAGCTATGGACTTTATGTTGTACTTGGTCCTTATCCAAAACCAAGTCAGTTGGGCAGAGGGCACCTAGTATCAGGTGCTTTATAACAGGAAGCTGTATAAAATATAATCAGGTAAAGAGTTGGGAATATTCCTCATCTCAAAAAGATCATCTGCTTTAGGCCTTAAGTATGAATATTTTGTGTAAACAGAATTATTAAAAGTACCCTAGAGGAAGTAACAGCAATGCTGGCTTACTTTTGATCACCACTGCAATCCCACAACTCAAACCGACACCCAGCTCCCTTGGTGTTAGTGTTCAAGTTTGGCGTCTCGTACTCCAGGATCCTGTGAAATGGGTGGATATACAACATCACCAACACCACACGGCACCACAGCCAGAGAGCAGGACTTTCCGAGGGGCTGGCTCAGTCAGCGTGCTCTGGGTTTCGCTCACCTCAGAGCCTGCGTCGGGCTGTAGCTGCCGATCCCTTCTGTGTTCTCCGAAATGAAGTTTGCCAACACCGACTTTCCAGACTGGCAGAAAGTGAAGGTCCCGTGGGAAGTTAACGTGCCAAGACCACACCAAAGAGCAGCGCACAGTGTTTTACCCAAGCCCCCTGATCTCTCTCCATTCTCGGCCCCCAGTGCATTCAGCCCTACCCCCCGCCCTCCTCCCGCCTCCAGGGACCCCTCAGTCCCTGTGGCCACCTCAGCGGCCCCCGCCTAGGAACAGCGACCCTCAGGGGTCCGGTCGAGGGGCCGGTTGAAGGCGCTCACCTCGCGGGGCCCCACCAGCAGCACCTTGGCCTTCAGCATGGCGGCGGCGGCGGCGGCCCCTCCGACCCTCGCGTTGCCTTAGCAACGCGGCCGCGGGAGGCGGGAAGGCAACAGGGGGGGACGGCGCGTTGCGATTGGCTTTGTCGCAATCACGTGCCCGGGGAGGCGGTGCGCGCGCGGCCGCCCTGAGGTGGCGTCCGGCTGGGTGAGTGCTCGGGGCGCTCCGCTCGCCCGATCCCATGGGCTCCGCCCGCGCTGCCGCCGCTTGTCCCCTCACAGACGGTAGCGGGAGATGGATGCGGCCTCTCAGGTACCCCGGCGGTGGCTTTGCCTCCGGGCCCCTCCTGACGGAGCTGGCGGTGTGGCAGCGGCGCGCCGGGGCCCTGTGGGCTCCCGCAGGCTGCCCGCGGTGAGGTGTGAAGCGCTGAGCCCTGACCAGTGTGTCCTGAGGGGAACCCCTCAGGTTTTGTGTCCACCGGGCGGGACTGAGAGCAGGTCCGCTCTGTTGCCCTCGGCCTTTCTGCCCTCTGGAAAGCACGAGTTGCGTCCACAGGTACTAAGCAACACTTAAATACCGCACAGTGTTCGTGGTGTCACTCGCAGCTTGAGCAGCGCTGTCCTTGCCTGAAGTGTCATTGCGATTTTAACTGCAGATTCCCCTTGAATGGACGATGAAGCAAGCTCTTGAAGTTTCTTATTAAGGCTTGTTAGGGGAAGCAAAAGGCTTTTTAAAATCACAACTTCTAAGAAAAAAAAACCAACCCATCTGGCAGACAGATGTGCTGCTTCAGAGCTGTTTAGTGCCCAGGTACAATAGCAGTTTTAGGCAAGCTTTCAAATAGAGCCTCTAAGGCGCTACCATAATGTAAATATTTATTACTAGGACTACTAATAAATGTGAACCAGAATTGCTCTGCTCTCGCTGAGGGGGTAAAAAGTGTTTTTATGACACTGTAGACGTACTTACTGTACCACTCCTTATGCAGAGGGTAGTTTAAACTGCAGGAAAACCCTTTGTTTTCAGGTTGGTGGGACAAAGGCAATGAAAATACAAGAGCTGCACCTAGATTCTGCTTTAGCAGACTGGATGTGTATTGTCTGTGAAGATCTGCATGTGATTCAGGACAAAATCCACACAGAACAGGGGCAACTCATAGTTAATCCTTCCCGCAGCTATGTTTTCTATATTTCAGACCTAACTTCCAAAGAAAAAATGCAAAAGGTGACCCAGAGAGAAGAAATTAGAATAGCCTCTCTTACTTGCTGGCAAATGTTATTAGGTGCCACTAGCACATGAAGAGGAATGTGTTATAAAGGGTCCTATTGTGGGCAGCAGTACAGAAAGAGGGGGGAAAAAAAGAGTAAGAGGTAACTGAAACTGGGCAAAACTGGCTGTTTGTGCAGCTGCCCAGAAAGCAATTAGGATTAATTTTTAGATGAGGTGTCAGATAGGGGGTTTGTGTGTTTATGTTAGCCACTGAAGAGTAAGGAGAGCACAGCTGAATTAAGGCTGTAATTTTTGGATTTATCCACGTGATTTAGGGTTCGAAGTCACTTTAAAAAGTGGGAATTAAGCTTCCAAGCCACTTATTGCGACATTTTCAAAGGCATCTAAGTCAAGTACATTTGATGTTATCAGCATCTGCCTTAGGCATATGGGTGAAATTAGATTAGTTGCTGATGTATTGTTTGCTGACAGTACACATGTACAAATCAGTAAGGCCATTTTGTTTCACTTATTTAAACCTCTGTTAGACTGCAGCAGAGAGAAAACTCCAGCAGTAAGTGAACTACTTCCAGACAATACTGGTAATGGTCTGTAAGTCTTGCATTTATTAGATCGCTGTTTTTCCACCATAATATGTTGGTAGCAAGCGCAAATGATCATCTCCAGATGATTCTCCATGGATAGATCCTCCTTCTTCCTTAAAAAGCCAAAAGCAATTGCAGGCTATCAGTAATACTTCAATAAAACTTTTTCACTCTAGAAAGATCTGTGAGAACTCAACCTGTGAGACACATTGGTTGCTGTACCAAGGCAGGTGATTGTTGTTGCCTGAATTACAGATAAGAGACTCTGCCTCCAAGTTAGAGGCCCACAGGTTTTACTGGAAGCAGCAGCACAATGTAGTGCCAATCACCTTTCAGATAATACTTTAGCACTTGCAAATCATTCAGTCTTTTGGAGAACAGCAGTTTAAGTTTTCATTATATTTCTTTTAATGTGGCATATAATTTTTTTCCTATGAAAACAACACAAAAAGAATCTTTCATAGGCTTTTGTGGCTCAGCACTGGTACTTTATATATTGTGGCAATGTTTCCAAACTTGGGAAAGCATACCCTAGAGCACTCAACTTGTGTGTGAAAATAATGCCTTGGTTAGAAGTAGCACCACATGGTAAAGCCTAACCATGAGAGTGACTTCTCTGCCTGCTTGTTGTGCTTTGCATGTCATTTATTGTGTGTGTGCAGAAACAGCTTTCTAGTGGGCACAGGCAGAAACCTGACTGGCATCCTCTGTTTATTTTCACTGGTTCATTTGGGGGCAAGGCATAGAATACAAGAATTGAAAGGAAGAAATGCCTCTTTCTGTGCACTGAATCCTGTTACTAAACATTAATAAACTAAAAGCTTGTTGCTTCAGAAGCTCAGGGAAGGGATATGTCTCTGAGGTTCAAAGCCTAATTGATCAAGTAAATGATGAAGATTTACATGAAATGTAGCTGTCCTCTGGAGAAAATTTTGGTGAAGCTATGAAAAAAGACCAAACAGAAATAGGACGTTACAGTGCATTGACATGGGTGCAGTGCCACTCTTTAGCATGAGTTTCCCTTAAAAGTGGCTATTAGGGAGGGGTAAACATTCAGTTCAGTCTTCCTCTCTCAGAAAACCTATGCTGGAATCAATAGGAAAAGCTCACACAAAACCTTGTGCTTGGTTCATGCCAGCAGATTGTCAAGGACTACAGCTCTTCGATTTATCTGTGGTCTCCAAGTCCTTCCCAGAGGAGATGGGGATCTTTATTTCCGTGGTATAGAAACACAAGCAGAGAAAGGTGAAATGTCTTGTCTCAGGAAGCCACCTGGCAGACAGCATATCTAAGATGAATTAAAATGCCTCTAAGTGTCATTGCAGGCTGTGGGCAGTCACAGAGGAAGCAGACAACTCAGCAGCCAATGTGTTTTCCTGACCAGCGGACATGAACTCAGTGACACCTTAAGGGGCTCAATTCCCCCTCCATCAAAGTCAGAGGAAGTTCCCAGGGGATGAATTTGACTTGCTCCATTTATGCAATGATGTATAAACAAAACACAAGGAGCAGCAGTCTGTCTCCATGACCCCCATCCACAAGAGAACACAGCAAAGTGCTCTGATTTTTGATCACACTACAGGAACCCAAAAGTAGGATTTAATTTCTACGATTTAAATCTTAAGATACATCTGCAGATGATGTCTCTATAGATGTTTTGCTTATTCAGAAGTGGTTGCTCTGATTACATTCTGTGGAGCAACAGTAACACCTAGTGGCTAAACGTGCCAGTCCATTGCCTTCTTTCTTCTCTTCAACAAACATGAGTTGGAAGGGACATGGTGTGATTGACAGTTCTGACTTGTAAGGTCAACACTTACATCTCTAGGGATTTGCCATTTTTCTTTCAACCCCCACCACGTTCTGTTTTCTATTAAAAGTGGTAGATGAAATATGAGGCTCTTCCTCCCACCTCACAACCCCCTTCCCTTTTCTGGCTCATGGAGGAGGTTGTTCCAGTCCATCTTGATCTGTAGGTGGGTGGGCTGTGAGTGGCCAAGCCTACTGCTTTCAGCCTGGAGCACTCAGATTTCTGTCAGGAATCCAAGCTTTTTTCTTGTTTTTGTTTTTTTTTTTTGTTGGTTTTTTTTTCCTTTTGTTTCTGAAAAGGATCAAACAGATCATCTGATGGAGGTTGGTGACCTCAGTGCATTTGATAATGTGGTGTTAACTTGCCTGTGTTAAGGCAGACCAATCTGATCTGTTCCAAGAAGTACCATTTCTTAAGATGTGGTATGTGGGATTGTTTGCCATGATCTGCTGGGACTGTTAATTCATCAGAGAGGTACCCCCTAGAAAAAATAGCATTTGAGAGGAAAGAACCCACAGATGTTTATTGTGTTAGCAGGAGAGCCCTTCAGAGGGTCTTCTTTCCCCCTCACGGGGAAAAGTTTCAATTTTTCCATGGAAAAAGACATTAAGCAAAAGTATTTCTGCTAAAGCCAAGACTATTTGCATTTGTAAATAGAGCCTCAGCTCTTTGTGGGAATTATAGCACTGAGACATTATGGTCTTGCCATACTCCTGCTGTCTAATTTTAGGCTTCTGGTTTAGGTATTTGAATTACCCCCTGGAAGCATCTATTTAGGAGAACCTTCACTGCCTGTTAACAGAGCCTGGACTCTTAATTTATCCTGTGGATGCATGGTCTTTTATATATGACATAAACTTGTACCACCACCTACTCAAAGGAGTAGTATTGCCTCCATTCATGTCCTCAGCTCTCCATCTAGCTTCCTACCAATGACCTGTTTAGATGGAACACATTAAACTGAAATTAGTTTTCTGAGCCTGTTCACTGCAAAACTGCACAAAAACCTCGTGTGGCAGAAAGAAGGTGATGAGGACCAGTGAGGACATGGCTAAGTGGGTCAAGAATGGGACCACTTCTTTTGGCTGCTGTGCAGGTGTACATTGAATTAAGGCATGTAGGTAGTTAAATCATTAGTCAGACCTCTTAAATATGATATTCTCAATACCTGTTTGTGAGAGCAGACAAAGAGACATGAGAAATACTGTGCTGGGATGTGCTGGGCACTCTTTGTATTTGGAAAAGAGCATGGCAGCCTTGTTGGGCTGGGTGAAAAACCTTTCTTTACATTCGGTGAAATGGTTTCATAGGTGGTAGACTAGAGGGTGCTGAAATGAGACAATCAAAGGATAATTGTTATTTCTGAGTCACAGGGCTCATGGAACCTTTTGCATTAGAGCCGTATGCTCTTTGTTTTGAATATAGGATTTCAAAGTAAGTTTTGGTTCTCACTGGCAGCTGTGGTGCCTGTTGCCCCTCTTGGGCTGCAAGGAGCCTG